GTCCTAGTTCTTTCCCGGCTTTCATTAACGTTGTCGTATTTAGTTTTATAGTTTCAACGTCTTCGCTTAACAGTACCAGATCATCAGCATAGCCCAGCACGGATGTTGTATCGCCCAGATCCAACCCTTTCTCGGTCCGCATTACATCCCTAATGGCATGTTCTAATGCCAAATTGAACAGGACAGGCGAAAGGGAATCCCCCTGTTTTAAACCCGAACGAACCTCAAATTTTTCGGACAAATTATTACCGATTCTAACTTTATTGAGTGTCTCCGTCAAGCACATCCTGACTAGATTTACTAGTTTTTTTGGAATCCCCTGCTCGATTAGAATATTATACAGTTTCTGGCGGTCAATAGAATCGTAAGCCTTTTTAAAATCTATATACAGCTGGTTAACAATACCGTTATACTCCAATTTTTTCTCTAATATTTGCCGTAAAGAAAATATTTGATCAATAGTCGAACGATTCCGTCTAAATCCGCATTGGTAGTCTCCGATAATTTCCTCGGCGTATTCCGTGATTCGACTGGTTAAGATTGAAGTGAATATTTTATAACATATCGGAAGGAGTGAAATTCCTCGATAGTTATTACAATCCGTCCTCGGACCCTTTTTGTGAATCGGGATAAGAATAGATTCTTTCCATTCTTCAGGTAATTTCTCGTTCACCCAGATCTTTTTAACCAACCGATGTATTTTAGAAACTCCAGCTTCCCCGCATGCCTTAATTAGTTCAGTAGGAATATTATCGATTCCCGCTGCTTTATATGATTTTAATTTTCCGATAGCTACTTCAACTTCCTCTTTACTTGGTCCTTCTATTAACGGTTCAGCACTCTGGTACTCAGAAGGAGGACACAGATCATAATTTCCCGTATTTAATATATTGTCAAAGTGGTCCTTAAATGTATTCAATATGTCAACCGGATCGGTCAGAATATTGTTATTATCATCCCTAATTCCAGATGTTACGGGCCCTACACATTTACATGATCTGTTTATACCTTTGTACATGTCTTTTACGTTATTTTCGATTCTATTAGTTTCTATTTCAATTATTTTATTTTTAAAATACTCCCTTTTTTTATTTTTGAGCAATTTTGTCGTTTCGTTCTTTGAGATACGGAAGTATTCCAGATTGTCTTCGCTAGGATTATTTAGAGCTTTTAATTTAGCGGCTTTTTTTTTTTCGCACATGTTTAAGCAATCTTCATCAAACCACGGTTTGTTATTCTTATTTTCCTTTTTTCCTAGGCACGAGTTACCGACCGCTTTAATATTATCCCTGATCTCTACCCATAACTTGTCAATATCCTCGTGGTCCTCGTCAGGAAGCTCTAAAGCTTCAAACCTATTCTTAACATCTAGCTCGAATTGGTTTCTAATTGATGGATTTTTTAATTTTTCCAAATTAAAATTCTCAAAATCGAGACGGTTTTCTTTTCTCTTTTTTATATTAAGTTTTTGTCGAAGTTTCGCGATTACTAATTCATGATCCGACCCACATTCTGCTCCGCGATAAGACCGTACATTAATTATACTGCTTTGCCAGCTGTGTTGTATCAAGACATGATCGATTTGATTTCGTGTTTGCGAATCCGGTGATGTCCAAGTATATTTATGAATATCCTTATGTTTAAACGTCGTACTTTTAATCATCAGGTTTTTCGAGATGGCAAAGTTTATCAGACGGATCCCATTATCATTACTATATTCGTGCAAACTTTCTTTACCAATCGTCGGAATATAAACTTCTTCCCTTCCTACCTTTGCGTTCGCGTCACCTACAATTATTTTCATGTAATTTCGCGGTAGTTTATCATAACTACCCATTCGAGTTTATCGTAAAATTCACTTTTGACTTCATCGTCACTGTCTTCGGTCGGACAATGTATGTTTATTAAAACGATTTTAAACCAACGTCCCTGAAATGTAGCTACCGAAATTCTATCACTAAAGAATTGTACGTCCCTCAAAGCGGATAGTAATCTACTGCTAATTAGAAACCCGGTACCCAAACAATGATTCTCGCTTCCTCCGTACAAAATAGTGTACTTTCCTTCCCTCATCGAGCCCTCCCCTGGCCAGCAAACCTCTCTCTTGCAGAGCCACGACATCCAAATTGTACCCATTTACCTCATTCGCGACCGATTTTAGTCCCCCTGCTGTGTTTAAACTCCTTACGTTCCACGTACCAATATTTAAATCCCTATATTTCAACTTGTGCCATGAATCCCCTAAAGCAGTCCCCATCCGGAGACCCGAACGGGGGACTAGTTTACCTCCGGATAATGAGCGTTTTACCTTAGGGAGGTCCATGACTTTTTGTGGTGTTTGGTGAACTAAAGATATGTCAGTAGGGCGTTTAATCCTACGTCACACCCTCCAGCAAGTCTGGTGGGCCCCTACCTCCAGCAAGTCTGGAGGTCCCCTCCCTCCAGCAAGTCTGGAGGGCCCCTCTCATTGTTGGTCAGCGAGTCCATCGGACTTAGCCGGGAGGAAGTTCCAAGGAATTTCCACCGACCATCCCCACATCCGCCACCCGTGGGACGCTCCCCATACGCGGTAATGAGCCCGCGCGAGGTCTAATTGATAACAGAGAAAAATTTTTAAAAAAACTTTTGAGTTATTAAAGAGAAAGTAAATTATTAGGTCTTGCAATAAACATGATTAAAACAAAAAATATGGTCTTTAATAGAAATAGCGATACTTTTGATTATCTTTATACATTATTGGTCGGTTGGTTGTTGTATAGTAAAAGCGTGAAACCTGTTGGTCATCAATGCCATTAATTAAAATTATATATTATTATATCTTTTGGTTGTGAATATTAAGAATTGCATAAAATTAAAAAGATGTAAAATTTGCGTTAAGGTTAAAGTTGTTTACGGTTATTAAAGTTTAGTTATTTAAAGTTAGCACGTTAGGTAAAATAAAAAAAGAGGAAAAAAAAGTAGAAGAGGGAAATGCTGCGTGAGAGGTTTAGAGATTTTGTAAGATTCCTTCTTCAGACAGAAAACATATATTTTGCCTAGGATTTTTTTCATCATTTCCCAAGGAGCTGTTATATTTGCTGGTATTCCTCTTATGTTTAATTCTATTATATATTATTTGTGAAAGGTGTTTTTTTTTTTGTCAGTGCGCCATATCTTTGTCAATTCTTCATCAAATCCAATGATTGAGCCCTCATTTTGAATATTTATTCTACTTCAGACGGGGAAAATAATCACATCTCTCCGAAATTTCATGGGAATATGCTATGAATGAAAAGAAATGTTATTTGCAAATAACTCAAAAAGTGTAAATTTTTTTTTATTGAATTCATGATTATGTGAAGTATTGCTAAATTCGGTGCAAAAAAAAATTGTTGAATATAGATTGTTATTAGCTGAGATACAGGTTATTATAATGTTTAAACATGTTGGTTTTAAATATGAATGAAGTTTTAAAATAATTTCCTTTTCCTTGATCAATTTCAATCACTTAGAAAATAAGAATCGATTCCTCCATCTTATGTTAAATTGCATTACTTTATTTCCTTATTATTTTGTCATTTGTTCACTGATCAATGTACTATGCAAATCATTTGAATGGGCCAACTAGGAAAGATATAACAGGACATATTTAAATTTAAAAATATCTTTAGGTATCAGGGGGTTTAGGTAGAATTGGTGAGTGCATTATATCAAGTCTAATCTTGTGAAATTGAAATTTGCTGATGGATGGATGGACTAAAAGATTTTAGCCGAGTAGTTTGGGATTATGTCTATTAGCTAGCGGCCTTGGATTTCAACCTTATTCAGCCAAGGCATTCTAAATGTGCTTTGATTTCTTTCCATATCGCATATAGAGTATCTTGTGAGTGTCTATACTTTTCGCTTAATCTGAATATACAACTGAAATCTATTCATATTTGAATCAATGTTTCTATTTTTTTCAATTCTTTGTCAACATAAACCATTTTTATTTTCTACGTCTATAAGCAAGAATACATTTCTATTTTATTCAGAGGATTTATCAATAGAAGATGAGTCAAGAAATGTTCTATTTATTTACATTGTGTTATTAAATTATTTAATTATGATTTGGGAATGGGAGTGTCTGTCATCTCTATGTATAGACTATACAACATTTTGAAAAAATTGTATATAAATAAAACTTTAAATGTTAATTTCTTCAAAACAGCTATTCTCCGAAAGTTCTGTACTGATTGCTTTTAAATTTAGATATAATGTTACAATCGAATTCAGAAGTTTTTTTATATAAATTTCATTATCATCCGGTCTTTCATTTTGAAATAGTTGCCGAAAAACGTGCCCGCTATAGACTATAAAGCCAAAACTGCTGTAACTATTTTAATAAAACTTGGCCACAAAGATCTTCACCTTAAAGTTGTTTTAATTTAGATAAATTAAGTGCATAGTATACTTTCACATAAAGAGACTGAAAAAGTAACGATGGATTCAGAATCGTATTTGCAAATAACTCAAAAAGAGCACAGGATTTGGTTCATTAAACCTTTGAGTATTTGGAAACTTCCTTAATTTCTTAAAAATTAAAAAAAAAAAAATCATCGAATTCTAAAAGAATCATGTTTGATAAGGTACTCTTATTGCATTTTTAAAACTTTTTTCGGTTTATATTTTTAGGACAGCTGTATTATGACAAATTTATAAGTGGCATATTGCTATAGTGTGAATATGTTGAAATGAATGAATAAGTTGAAACGATTTGTATTGAGCGATGGACCAAAGTGGGTTCAAATATTTTTTTGAAAAGTAACAATGGATTTTGAATTTTCTTTGCGAAATACTCAAAAAGTACAAAAAAGGAAGTTAAAAAAAGTAATTGCTATTGATTTTGTATTAATATTAATACAGAAAATGTTAAGAAGTTGTGATTAAACTTCTTAAAAAAGACTTATTTTAAGAATCTAAAACAGCCAATTTGAAAATAAGTAATTGTTTCAATTAATCAATAATTTATGTCTTTACAGATATTTGACTATGGAAGATTTAATGGATGGAGATATTGAGAAAGAACCAACAACTGGACCAAAGTATTCTAATTTCTTCTTTGAACCTAATTGGGATTTTAACAGTTTCAATACAGAAGAGTAAAGTGGTCTTTTTTATTTATTATTTTGTTTTTTCTTTTCATAATTTCATTTTAAAATTAATATAAATAAATTAGAGCAGACATTATGTTTATTGATTATTGTAACTCCATTATTTATATTTATTCTGTTTTATGAGAAGGAGTTGATCGGGAGGTGCGGTCAACTCCTTCTCATATTATATCAACGGTCAACCATCTCTACATAATTATTCTGTTTTATATTTAATATATATTAAAATTGGGGATTTTAAAAATATTATGGGTATCATATTAATTATACCATTAATATTTTTTATTATTATTTCAATCCATATCTAATTTAGTTAAATGAACAACAAACATCTTGTATTAACAACAACAATCTGTCTGGATTGTAAGCCGACTGTATATATACAAACCATCGTGCTTGTAATATCATGTACATATTGCCTTGAATTTATATCTATTGGATATAAAAATTAACTTATTTCCTAGGTATTCACAATTTAAACTGTAAGGGTTAAAAATTAAGTTATTCAGAGTAAACTGAACTAAGTAACCCACATTGTCGTTCATAAGTTGTTTCTGAACATTTAAATGTTCTTCTTTAAAGACATATTGAAAAACTGAACACCAATTATTTGAATTACTTTAATTGCCATTTGTAAACATTATAAAATTAAACTAAATGTTCTTAATCAATATAAGTATGAGTCATGATGATTATTTAAAGTGTTATCAATCTGTAGCTTTCAATTTGTTTTTTATTAACTTATAATTTAGTTATGCATTAATTCATGATTTAGTTCTGAGACTGGTAAAAACAAAACAACTGTCAGCTTTTGTTAGAAATTAAATAAGTAACTGTTAGCTTTTATAATGAAAAGAAATATTTCAATGAAATAAAAGTTTTATTAAAAAATAATAATTAAATAGAAACAAACTATTCTCAGATATTTATTTTAATAAAATAAGGTAACAATGAAGCCTTTTTAATTATATAATATGGTTATTATTATTATTATTTCTGACGCACAACTGTTATCAAGTATTTAAAAAATTCCTTTTTGCCTTTTTGCTTATAATTATTAATCCATTTCAGACCACATGCACCTGATCCTTCATTTATTTTATGAAATAATGTAAAAACTTCACTATTAAGTTAATTTTATTTTTCAATCTTAAATTTAAACAAGAAATCAATTGTAAATTTTATCAATTTAATTTTTTATTTTGGTGGCTGATGTTAATTTCCTAACCTACCACTGTTGCCACAACCATCATTCCCTTTTTAATAATTTGTAAGAATTTATCTCTGGATTAAAACCTCTATCTAGGCACATCAAGTTGAATATATTAGGTTCCTAATATATTTGGGATAGGAACAAACCTACTTGATAAATCAGGTCTGACCAACCTACACCATTATGTGTAACTTTTTGTCATTTGTATATCTACGAATGGTGTTAAAACCAGAAAATTCTCATTTACCTTGATATTCATGAATATCAAATGTTAATGAAATAATTAGAAATATATTTTATTTGTATTAAAATTTTAACAAGTATTTTAAACTGAACTGTCTGCTCTCTGCTGTTCTTTTATTGGTCAATAAAATGACCTGTGAAGCCATTTGGATTATCCAGCCTGCTTTAAATCATGAAAGATACTGTGTAAAATATTGTAATCAAATCAGCTGATTTTTTTCTTGCTGCTGTAAAATTTTTGGAAATTTACAAGGCCTCTCAATTATGTGAACTATTTTACTTTATGAAAATTAAATTTGTATGGCCTATTTTGTTTTCTTAGTCAGTCTTCATATGTTTCATCTAAGATTCTTTAAGACCATTAATAGCCTATCTGTTTGCATTCCACATCAAAAATAAGAGATGTATCCAGGACAGTTTTGATTTATTTTTCTAAATTTTCAGTTAGCCAAATATTTTGGCTGTTGTATTAAATATCTCCTATGTTGTATAAATTTCTGTCAGCCTACAGGTTAAGCAAGAGAACATCGAGAAATTAAACATAATGATTGTCAAATGTAAGTCAATTTATTTGTTAAAGAGTTTTTAAGTAAAGAAAGAAAACGTTTTGTACAAGCTTTTATTTATTTATTTATTTTTTATGATCTATGATTTAGATCCATTTATTTTTAGTTTAGTTAATGAGACTTCATTAACTGAATTTGCAGATCAATTCTTATCTATATATTAGTGATTTATGACAATAATAATGTATAATATTATTTATGAAAGATGGTTAAACTTAATTTATTTAAATATTGGAAAATGGTTTATTAAATATAACAATATATATAGCTTGGGTTATTGGAAGTTATATGTTCACTTTTTTCTTGAACTGGATGAGTCCATATATATATATATTTTTTTTTTTTTTTTATTACATAATAATGTTATTATTTTGCAAATAATAGCAATTAGTCATTTTGATACACTGCATATTTAAAGTGAAAAGGGCTGTACAAAATTTTGTTTTTGTTTTTGAATGAACATTACGGTTGTTTCATCTTACATACATCATTAGTGGTCCTGTTGAGTTTGACATAATATTTTAGGACTGACTGCTTTTTGAGATAATAGGGGTAAATAAAATTGAGTTGTGCTTCTTTCATTCTGGATGTTAATTTATTTTTTATGAGCAATTAATATAGTCAGTAACACGAAATTTGGTATTGATTGGTCTCCTCCCCTATATATTTTTTTTCTAATTAAGAAGAAATTTACCTATAAAGATGTTTAATTTTTTTAAATGTCAGCATTTTTAATATATTGAAATATTTTATGACAACAGCTCGAGACTCCTAAATGTAATTTATGGCATTCTTTGTTATCTCAATTTATTATTTTTCTTTAATCAAAAAATAATTATTTGTGTAAAAATATGTTGACGTACAAAATAATGGTGTAACAATTATACATATAATATAATTTTCTACATTTAACTTTTCTTCAAAATTATTTTTGTATTTTATAATTATTACCATTTTCATTACTACCTTACTCAGTTGCGTATTGTTGTCCATGAGATGTATATTTGCTAGAGCCTAATTTATATTAACTATACCAACAGTTTTTAGTATATATGTTAGCATATATACCTTTGAACTAGTTCAAAATTTATCTGTTTTTCAGAAATAATTATCATAACTGATACATCAAAATTGTATGGTGTATATTGATGGGTGAGAATTGATACCAGGTATCACCAAAATGATTACTTTACTGTTGGAACAAAAAAATATGTGTAAACATAATTAAAAATATGCAAGTTGTTCAAGTGTTTGTTTATTTTTTATGGTATTAAGGAGGCATATCTATATACAGGGTGTCCCGTATTTAGAGGGGAATTTTTATATTAGTGATAGTGGACCTCAAGGCCAACAAAAAAAATTCACATAAGCAATATTTCAATTCTCAGCAGAAAAGTAGAAAATCAAATTTTATAGTGTTTTTTAAGTAAGTCATCCTTTTCGATGAATAGGAAGCGATAACTGAAGAAATATTTAATTTAAATAATTAAATTATACTAGATAAAAATATACTAGATAAAATTTTCTTCATATGATAATATAATTTTTCATTGTTAAAACCATTTAAAGAGTACTTTTGAGTGGCTAAACTTGGCTAAGATATTAAAAAAATCATATATTATGATGAAATTTTTATTATTATCCAACAATATTATAGATATCCCACTTCAAACTTCTTCGTTTAATAAACTTGATGTACTTATTAATTAAATTGAGGTTTATTTGACAAATTCTTAAGATTCACCTCAAGTTATGTAAAGAAATGTGATTTTTCATCTTTTTACCTAAAACTACCTTTGTTTTCAACAAAATTGTCTACAATTAACTGTTGCAAAGCTTTTATTTCTTGTTTTTCCATGATCTGGGATGTATTATAATAAAAATAATTTCCTAAATAAACTTTTTATTTATAAATAATAATAATGATTTGCTAAATACTTATCATATAAAGTATTTATGAAATTGTATTTTTCTCCCAGATCTCTGCCATAGGAGTTGATCCGTATTTATAAGTGTCAAATTTCATGTTTCTAGTTCTAAAATTTACGTTTTAATGAAAGTAATTGAAGCAATCAGCAGAGTTTTTTTTGTTTTAAACATTAAATTTAGTACTAGAAACATTAAATTTGTCATTTATAGATATGGATCATTTCCTATAACTGAAATCTGGGAGCAAAACAGTTTTGTAAATACTTTACATGAAAAATAATTTAAAATTATTATTATATTTTTTTGTTATAAATAAAAATTGAATTTATGTAAATATATTTATTAAAATAAATCCCAGATCATGAAAAAAGCAGTAAATAAAAGCTTTGCAACAGTTAAATATAGTCACATTTGCTGAAAACCTGACATCATTTCTTTATACAACTTGAGATTAATCTCAAAAATTTGCCTTATAAACCTCAATTAATATGAACTTAAAGCTTATTTAACGAAGAGGTTTTTATAAAAGTGGAGTGTCTTGTATAGTTGTATAACGATGTAATGATGATAGTATAATCGTCAATAATTTATGATTTTTTTTAAAAACAGAACTTAGCCAAGTTTAATCTCTCAAAAGGCCTCTTTAAATAGTTTTAACAATGATAAATTCCATTTTAAATTGAAGAAAATTTTACCTAGATTACAATGAAATAATTGTCAATTACTTAAATTAAATATTTCTTCAGTTATCACTTTCTATTCATCAAAAAGCATGACTTACTTAAAAAAACACTAAACTTGGATTTTCTACTTTTCAGCTGATAATTGGCCCATTGTTTGTATGAATTTATTTTTGTAGGCTTTGAAGTCTGTTATCACTCTTATTAAAAGTTCCCTCTACGTACGGGATACCCTGTATAATAATGCTTTTCATTTTCTGGATTGTTTTGTATTAGTGATACGAATTTTCTTCTGAAAATGTGATCAGTATTCATCAGGTAGTTTATGCTAGTAGTCTCCAACCTTTTTTTTTTTTT